CACACTTCCAACTCATTCTCACTCCCATTACTGTTCTCGAGAAACTGGATCAACTTTTGTTTGATTTTGGTGTTTGGGGTGTACGTAAGAGTACATAAGAGAATAAAAAAGGGCGAGAGTCAGTGTAAGTGTAGACCTGCACGCGTTGGCTTTCGTTGGTCGTGTGTTTTGGGGGTGGGGGCCTGAGCAAGTTTCATGCTTTGGGGTCAGTCAGTACAGTAGGTGACTCGGATTTAGGCCACGCATGTCCTGCGGACTGCCCGTGTGATGACAGTCTCACATGGTTGCTCCAATGCCATTCTCACTCCTAGATTAACTGCTATCTCATACTTTTTAACTGCTGTTTATTTCTTTTTGAAAATACAAACTTGAATCTTCTTATCTTTAACATAATATTTAAATAAATTTTTAATAATTTTTTATTTTTTATTACATTAAATTAAATTTTTTTATTTTTATTTTTAGTTAAATAAATTTTTATAATTAATTATTAACTAATTATCATTAATTAAAATATAATCTATCATTTTATATTTACACGATGTTAATGTGAAAGATAAAAAATATTACATGATTATATTATTTTATTAAATTTATATATTACGTTATTATTAATAGTGATATATCATCATTTCATATCATCATTAGTTATAATATGTTAACATGTTATGTTGATGTCACATAATATAAAATAATAAATAATATTTTTTAAAAATTAATTATTAATTATAAAAATTTATTTAATTTAAAATAAAAATAAAAATAAAAAATTTAATTTAATTTAAAATAAAAATATTAAAATTTAACCTAAACGTAATAAAAATATAAAATTTTATTTTAAATTTTTAAATAATTTAAAAAATTTGTGGATATTATGCCATCTATCTATAAACCCTTTGGATACATGCTACCACCTCAACAACAGAGCCTGCCCTTTGAGAAAAAGACAAAAGTCCAAAAGAACAATAAATGTTTCAAGGCTTGGTTCATTACTTACCTCATCACGGAACATGACAAGCAAGTAGAGGATAAGGCCAAGGTCCTACAGCCATAACTCTTATCTGAATATGTACTTTAGGCTTCATCCCTCTTACTTTTGTACATGATTCGTTGCATGGAAAAGTCTATATGTCATGAATTTATCAATTTTTTCTTATGTGTGATCATGACGTTCAATTCTTATTTTAATATGAATGAAGATTTGAATAAACTTAATAAAAATAATACTTATTTAAATTAAATATTCAATCAATTAATGCTACCATCCAATCCTCAATGATAATAGAAACTGGTAAAAAGATAAATTGGATACCCAAAATTTTAGTTGCATCAAGCCCAGGAAGTAAACAGACCATGACAGCCTATAGTTATTAGATACAGCCAAAATATCTCTCATGCAAATTATTGCAACTAAATTACAGGCTCCACCAACGAATAAACTAAGTTAACCCCACAAACTTTGCTCCTGTACAGGACGGCTGCCATTAGTCCTTGAGCTCAACTATATATCTGATTAACACCAGTGAGACTTGGTAATAGGAGATGATTAAACTTTAACTACTCCCATCTGACCAGC